TTGTGTCTTAAATGTCGCAGAAACGCGTTTTTTAACGTTCACGAGTTAAAATGGAGTTTGTCATATTTTTATTCAAGTGGATGCAAATATTTTTACACTGTGGAAGTGTTAGACTAAAGAGAACGAAACCTCCTGATATTATCAAGTACAAGTAACAGTATGTAGTAGTATGTAGTAGTAGTAGTAGTAGTAGTAGTAGTAGTAGTAGTAGTAGTAGTAGTAGTAGTAGTAGTAGTAGTAGTAGTAGTAGTAGTATTAGTAGTAGTAAGTAGTAGTAGTAGTAGTAGTAGTAGTAGTAGTAGTAGTAGTAGTAGTAGTAGTTGATGTGGTTGCAGTATTAGTCATTTATAGTAGTTGTAGTAGTAGCAGTTTTAGTAGTCGTAGTAGTTGTAGTAATAATAATCATTGTAGTAGTAGTAGTAGTACGTGCAGTAGTACTTGCAGTAGTAGTAGTAGTAGTAGTAGTAGTAATACTCATGCCTATAGTTTGTAGTAGGCTAATAGCCATAGTAAAAGTTGTCAGTGTGTAGTAGTAATTCATTGTAGTAGTAGTAACAGTTGCAGTAGTAGTCATTATAGTAGTAGTATGTAGGAGTGGTAGTAGTAGTAGTTGTTGTTGTCGCTGCTGTAGTTACAGTATTAGTAATTTAAAATGGTAGTAGTAGTAGTAGTACTTGCAGTAGTTGTAGTAATAATAATCACTGTAGTAGTACTTGTAGTAATAGTTATGCCTATAGTTTGTAGTAGGCTAATAGCCATAGTAAAAGTTGTCAGTGTGTAGTAGTAATTCGTTGTAGTAGTAGTAGTAACAGTTGCAGTAGTAGTCATTATAGTAGTAGTAGTATGTAGGAGTAGTAGTAGTAGTAGTTGTTGCTATAGTATGTAGTAGGCTAGCAGTCATAGTAAAAGTTGTCATTTTGTAGAACTACTAGTAGTAGCAGTAGTAATAATGATCATTGTAGTAGTAGTAGTAGTAGTAGTAGTAGTAGCAGTAGTAGTAGTAGTAGTTGTTGTAGTTGTTGTTGTTGCAGTAATAGTAGTAGTTGCAGTAGTAGCAGTAGTAATAATGATCATTTTAGTAGTAGTAGTAGTAGTTGCAGTAGTTGTAGTAGTTGCAGTAGTAGTAGTAGTAGTAGTAGTTGTAGTAGTAGTAGTTGCAGTAGTAGTAGTAGTTGCAGTAGTAGTAGTAGTTGCAGTAGTAGTAGTAGTTGCAGTAGTAGTAGTAGTTGCAGTAGTAGTAGTAGTAGTAGTGCAGTAGTAGTAGTAGTAGTAGTAGTAGTAGTAGTAGTAGTAGTAGTAGTTGCAGTAGTTAGTAGTAGTTGCAGTAGTAGTAGTAGTTAGTAGTAGTTGCAGTAGTAGTAGTAGTTGCAGTAGTAGTAGTAGTTGCAGTAGTAGTAGTAGTAGTGCAGTAGTAGTAGTAGTAGTAGTAGTAGTAGCAGTAGTTGCAGTAGTAGTAGTAGTTGCAGTAGTTAGTAGTAGTTGCAGTAGTAGTAGTAGTTGCAGTAGCAGTAGTAGTTGCAGTAGTAGTAGTAGTTGCAGTAGTTGTAGTAGTTGCAGTAGTAGTAGTAGTTGCAGTAGTAGTAGTAGTTGCAGTAGTAGTAGTAGTTGCAGTAGTAGTAGTAGTTGCAGTAGCAGTAGTAGTTGCAGTAGTAGTAGTAGTTGCAGTAGTTGTAGTAGTTGCAGTAGTAGTCATCCCTATAGTTTGTAGTAGGCTAATAGCCATAGTAAAAGTTGTCATTGTGTAGTAGTAGTTGCAGCAACAGTTACAGTAGTTGCAGTAGCAGTCATTGTAGTAGTAGTAGTAGTAGTAGTAAGCTAGTAGGAATAATAAAAGTTGTCATCGTGTGACAGTAGTAGTAGTAGTAGTAGTAGTAGTAGTAGTTGTAGTTTGAGACAGTGAGGAGTACATGTGCTTTTGTTGTGTCCTTGGGCAAGAGCACTTTATCTACAGTGTCCAGTGTGTCGTGTTGAACAGTGTTGGGAAGTGACTGAGTACATGTACACAAAATACACATTCTGAGGCAACGATTTGTAGTACAGTTACTTTTTTCATGTAGTGTAATTCAGACTTGTACACGGTGACTTTGTTTTTATCTCTCCTCCCCCTCTCCTCCTCTGTTACTTTACTTTACCTTTACTTACTTTACCTTACTTTACTTTTACATTACCTTCACTTTTACTTTATTTTACACTTTACATTTACATTCTTTACCTTTACCTTTATTTACTTTACTTTACTTTACTTTATCTTTACTTTACTTTACATTTATTTATTTTACCTTTACTTTACATTTAACTTTACATTTAACTTTGCATTTACTTATTTTTTTTACATTTATCTTTACTTTACTTTACTTTATTTTACTTTTACTTTACATTTTTAACTTTGCATTTACTTATTTTACATTTATCTTGACTTCTCTTTACCTTAACTTTACATGTAACTCTACATTTAACTTTACATTTAACTTTACTTTACTTTACAGATGATTTTTTCTCTTTTGTAGAGACCGGGAAGTGCAGCGAGCGACAGTCTCTCCAAAAATCTGGTAAGAAAATTACTCTAATTAACATAAGTTGCGTTGAGACGGACGACTGGACGACTCCGACGTCGCGGAACGGGGCGGAGTTAAATCTGTTGCCGTGGTGACGCCCCGCCCCCTTTCTCCCTCCCTCCCTCAGTCGGTTCCGTTCAGGGGACACATCTCCGGAGGTCTGCGTCCCGGGAAGAGGCTCCAGCTCGTGGGACTGATCGACCCCAAACCCGACCGGTAACTCAGACGCCCTCCCCGTATGTGTGTGTCGTTTTGTAGTAGTAGTAGTAGTAGTAGTAGTAGTAGTAGTAGTAGTAGTAGTAGTAGTAGTAGTAGTAGTAGTAGTAGTAGTAGTAGCAGTAGTAGCAGTAGTAGTAGCAGTAGTAGTAGTAGCAGTAGTAGTAGCAGTAGTAGCAGTAGTAGTAGCAGTAGCAGTAGCAGTAGTAGTAGCAGTAGCAGTAGTAGTAGTAGTAGTAGTAGTAGTAGTAGTAGTAGTAGTAGTAGTAGTAGTAGTAGTAGTAGTAGTAGTAGTCTGTGTGTGTGACACACAGGGATACAGGAGGACGGGAGGGCATCTGACACACAGATACAGTGAGACACAGTTGCATAAAAGTGTTTATTTACATCAATGTAGAGATTCAGACGCCCATCACCAGTTCACTGTCAATTCTGATTTTCTTTACAATAACTCAGGTTCCAAACTATAAGGAGACCAACTTGGGACTTTTCAGTCCAGTTCCAAATACAGAGTCAAAAGTATCCACAGTCAAATGTACACAAATAAAGTACACATACTTCAAAATGATACTTAAGTGCAGTACTTTTACTTTTGTACTTTGTCACCGCTCAAAGTCTCCACTGCAGTGAGAACCAGAGGAGCAGAGTTTGATCCTCCATCATTTAAATAAGGACTGAAATATGGAAGCAGCTTCTCCCTGAAGCAGCAGTCAGTGAAGGAGTAGAGGAGATCTGCAGAATCTGCATCATAAAAGGAGACCAGACCCTTTCCATAGTCCACAAACACCCCGACCTTCTGAGGAGCTCTCTGAGGAGACAGACGGGCCCAAGGGTCATTACAAGCGCCGTACTCATCTTTGTTTCTTAAGGTGATGCGCCACAGTCCATCTTTGGGACTTACATATATCTTTTCCTTCCTGTTGATGGACTCTTGGGTCACTGCTAAATCCCAGTTTGTTTTCCCTTTGACCTGAACCTCAAAGTAAAACCTGCCTGAAGAGAAACTCTGTTTTCCTAAAACACAAACACAATAATCAAACCTCAGAGGAGAATCTGGGAGCTTCTTCTTCACGTCTCCACAATGAACCTGTTTGAGATCTTCAGACAGAACGAGCCATGGAGCTGCAGTGTCTGGGTCCAGAGTCACCTCCACCGCACTCTGCTTCACTCTCTTCAGCTCGGCTTTGTTAGACTCTGAGGCCAGTTCTTTAAAGTGTTTGTTAAACTCCTGAGGGAGACTGTTCTCCAGCTCAGACAGAGCCCGGGACACACTGCCCTCACATGTCTCCGGCTCAAAGTTCACGCTGCTCCACTCCTTAAGCCCAGCAGGGGGCGTGAGTGCAGGGCAGCGCTGTAGAAAGTGGAGGGGGTCATGAGAGCGTGAGAGACGTTGGGCCTCAGCGCTGCTCTGCTCCAGATCACAGATCTCCTGCTCCAGCCGCTGCAGCAGATCCTGGGCTCGTCTGTGGCTCCGGCTCTGCTTCTCCTGGAGCTCCTCTAAGAAGAGGTCCATACTCCTCTGAACAGACTGCATGAGAGCAGTGAAGACCTGCAGCCCCGCAGCCCTCTCTCTGAGGACCTCTGTCTCACTCAGCTCCAGGAGGCTCTGGATCTCCTGGATCTTCTGCCTCCTCTGCTCCACCATGTGCTGGCTCTGAGCCTGAGTCTGCAGCAGAGAGGACCTCCTGCGCTCACACGCCTCCTCCAGAGACAACAACTCATGGTTCTTGTGATCTAGAGCAAAACACATCATGCACACGATCTTCTCATCAGTGGAACAGAAGAGCTCCAGGGGGCGTTGGTGTGTGGGACACATCCTGTCTTCCAGGTTTTCCACAGGCTCCATCAGCTGGTGTCTTTTCAGCGCAGAGACTGTGAGATGAGGCTGGAGGTGGCTCTCACAGAAGGAGCACAGACACACCAGGCAGGACTTGAGGGCCTTCAGCTTGGGCTCAGAGCACACGTCACACTGCACCTCTTTAAAGTTAAACACCTTCTCCATAGATCTGCTCTTGTTCTTCTGCAGGTTAGACTCTGAGACCAGCTCCTTCAGGAGCGTGTTGACCTTGAGCTGTGGTCTGCTGTGGAACATCTCTTTACACACAGGACATGTGCAGGGCCCATCAGTGTCCCAGGCCTGAGAGATGCAGCGTCGGCAGAAGTTGTGTCCACATGGAGTGGACACTGGCTCAGAGAACACCTCCAGACAGATGGAGCACAGGAACGTCT